GGCCCCCGGGGCCCCGGGGGGGAGGGGGGGCCCCCTGGCTCGCCGGGACCTGCGGGCAGCCCCGGGCTGCCAGGACCCCCAGGGATGATGGTAAGGAAGGGTGACCATGCTGGCCGGGGTGCAGGACCACATGCCCGGTGGCAATGGCCCATCATGTGTGTCCCCAGGGAGACGTGGTGAATTACGACGAGATCAAGAGGTTCATCCGTCAGGAGCTGAGCAAGATGTTTGACGGTAACAGGGTGGCAGGGGCGAGGGCCAATTGCACCCCGGCGTGGCCTCATCCCCGCCGGTGCTGAGCGCAGCTGCCTCTCCCCGCAGAGCGGATGGCGTACTACACCTCCCGGCTGCAGTTCCCCGTGGAGATGGTGGCATCTCCAGGGAGACCCGGTCCCCCAGGGAAGGATGGGCTGCCTGGCCGGCCGGGACCCCCCGGCTCCCCAGGGATGCCAGGGCAGATCGGCAGAGAGGGACGGCAGGGTGTGCCGGGCATGCGGGGTAGGTGCTGCTCCCTGGGGCATTCCCAGTATCCCCCCCAGTGCTGGGGTGTCGTGGTTGTGTTGGGGTCTCACCCCTCTCCATCCACCTCTCCTCCAGGTGAGCCAGGCGCCAAAGGAGAGAAAGGAGAGAAAGGCGTGGGGCTGATGGGGGACAGCGGCCCCCCGGGACCCCCAGGTGAGCCCCCTCCCTCTGCGTGGCAACCAGCCCCATGATGGAGCTCACTGCCACCCCCGCACCCTGCCACCTCCCTCTTTCTCTCCATCTCTTCCAGGTCCCCAAGGGCCACCAGGCTACGGGAAGATGGGCCCCCCAGGCCCCGTGGGACAGCAGGGCATCCCCGGCATCCCCGGCCCCCCAGGGGCCACGGGGCAGCCGGGCAAGACGGGGCACTGCAGCCCAGCAGACTGCATGGGTGCCATGCCCCTGGAGCAGCCCCTCTTCCAGCCCAAAAACGTGAAGGGTCCTTTTGGCTGAGGGGACCCCCACGCCCCCTGTGCCTCCCGCCTTTGCTGTTAATATTATTTCCCCGCTGTGCCGGGGCTGTGCCTGTCCCGCGGGGGGTGTGGGGGGTGTGTGTGTGCGGGTGTTGTACAGCTCCGTCGTGATCGTGAGGGCAGGTGGATCCTGTCCGGCCAAATACACCCGTGCTGGTGCCCCCGTGCCTCCTGCCTCCTTGCTCGGCCGCGGGCTGGATCTCTGCCTTGTCCCCATCCCTGTCCCCAGTCGAGGGATGCGGATCTGCCCAGTTCTGGAGCCCCAGCCCAGCAGATGGGGCTCAGGCCACCCCAGCCGGGGGAACAGTGCCCCTGAGCCCCCTCCTGCCCCACGGCCCCGGGTCTGAGGGGGGCATCCTGGGGAGATCCCAGCCTTGCCTCTGGGTGAATCCCAGCCCAGTTCCTGGGGTGATCCCAGCCCTGACTCCAGAAGATCCCAGCCCTGATCCTGAGGGATCATAGCCCTGCTTCTGGGGAGATCCTAGTCTTGATTCCAGGGGATCCGAGCTGTGGTCTGGAGCGATTCCAGACCCGCTCCTGTGTAGATCCCAGACCTGATTCCAGGAGATCCTTAGCTGTGTTCTGCGGCGATCCCAGCCTCTGGGGGAATCCCAGACCAGCTCCTGGGGAGATCCCTGTCCTGCTCCTAGAGGGATCCCGGTCCTGGTCCAAGGGAGATCCCAGCCCCACTCCCAGGCTCATCCCGTTATGGGGGATCCCGCCCCTGCTCCTGGGCTGATCTCGGTCCAGCTCCCGGGGAAACCCTGGCCCTGCTCCCGGGCAGATCCCGACTTCGCTCCCGGGAGGACCCTGCGGGGCTCGGTGGGCCCCACCCCGCTCTGTTGTCGTTGCCGCCTTAAGCCCCGCC